AGATAATAAATGCTTATCTCCGGTACATCAGACCGGTTCATCCAATTTAAATCATGTGTGCAATGCTTTTCGATTTTTGTTAAGAATCATCCATTGTTAAGATAACGGGCTTTTTCTGAAGTGAATCAAACTTTACTTACTAAGTAAAGTTGATCAACATACCATCTTTTACTTACTCTCAAATTTTAATGAAATTTGGATAGCCTTTTTCTATTAGTTTTTCTTGTTATACGTTTTGGAGCAGTTAATCAATTTTCTGTGTTGGAACGTATTACGAAGAAATGTTTTAGTAAAAAGTTATTCAAATTGCACCAAAAAATTTGGGAGTAAGTAAAAGATGGTACGTTGATCAACTTTACTTAGTAAGTAAAGTTAGGTTTACTTTGAAAAAAAAACTTTTTCCTTGTAATATGTGCAATTCGTCACAATACCCACATTCGTCAAAATACCCGCATTTACCTTATGAATGATTCTTATAATAAGATTTTCTGAAATTAATATGCAATATAAAATGAAGATTTAAATAACTAGAAATGGCCGTTACATCAATACTGTATATAGCTATAACGTTTATCAAGATAACCTGAGTAATTTAATATTATTCGGGTAGAGATTTAAATCATATACTTCTTTTTTTTCTGACTATTTACAAAAATTTAGAGTTCACAAAAAGATTAATTTAGCTGAAATTGTTTTCTTAGTAAATTAATTATAAATGTAATAATTTATAAATTCAAAGTTGATCCAAAATTATTTCTGGCAGGGCGAAATATTACCGGATTTAACATACTCCCCGTCGATGTTACACAACTGATTCTTCACCCGGCGTGTAACATATAAAAATTATTTTACAATACCAGATCATTCCGTAAGTACAAGTTATGATTATAATCCCACACCATTTTATTATAATAAAAATGGTGTGGGATTACAATAATAACATGTACTAGCGGAATGATCTGGTTTTATTGCAAAATAATTATATGTTACACACCGGGTGAAGAATCAGTCGTGTAACATTGACAGTTCCTCCAGTTCACAATAACGTATAATATAAATAGCTTCCTATATTAATGAGCAATTGACAGAATCGATAAAAAGACTCAACTTTTAACGTTAATAATTCTTCTAATAATACATTTTTCCAAGTATTAAATTTTTAAGTTGTATAAAGTTAAAACCGAAGTCTGGTTTTCTTCTTATATATAAATTCTATAGTACTAGACACTTTTGCAAATAGCTTAACTAATTTTGGCATAATTTTTTTTCTCGCTTTTAACTTTTGAACATCCAATATATACAATATGGTTAAAGTTTCTAAAATTCTTGTATATTTGGTACTTATCGTCCATGTTCATTTAACGACTAGTTTACTTACTCATGTATTCGAAGAACGTAACTTGACTACCTTATTAGCAAATACATCAGGACATAATCTGGAAAAAAGAATTATTTTCCCCCAATTTGACCCACTTAAACTTAAAGAAACATTAATTGAGCGTCCAGCTGAACTTCCTGATCAGGTAGAGCTGTTACACCTTCCTTTGGCTTGTAAATGGCTTAGGACTTTTGTTGCATTTTGTATTTGTTGTGTATTAAGCAATCGAAATGTGGTGTTTGATGAACAAAGGTACATTCAAGATCCTTCAAGTATCGATCAATTAATAAAAGCACGCGTTTATGGTCCTAAGCTTGGAGAAATGTTTCGTGAATATCGTATATCACATTATTATAATCGCGTGTATTTCGATGGTACAGCCAAAGATTTTGTAATACCTATATGTCGTACTTCAGAAGCAATTCCAATTAAACGTTTCACATATGAGCTTCAAGTACCGTGTTTACCTAAGGCTGCTGAAGATATTTTGCGTTTTTATGATCCTTCAACACCATTTTCTACATCCGATGATCTTATTAGACCACCAAAAGGCAAACAACTTTTATTAAATGCACAAGGATTTTCAGAGTTTTACGAATTAATGTTACAAGATAAATATAATATATTGGGATATCGCACACAACGTTCTCTGCTTAATATTCATCGCCAAGTGCTAAAATATTTATCTGAAGATATTAGCATAGATAATTATTTTAATCTTATCTACTACAAATTTGGAGTAAAAATTGATATTTTATTGCGCAAAATTACAAACTTAGTAGATCATGATGGTTTAGTAAGTCAATCTATAGCCGATCTAATGGTTATATGTGAGGAAGATGGATATACTCATACAAATTAGCTTTAGATTTTTATATTTTTTTTATTATAAGACTAGCTGAAAACCCGTGCAATAATAATATTTTATTATAAAAATCATTGTTTTAGTGATCAAAGCTAAGTTAGTTTATATTGAGTTTATTGTAGGTTATAAAAAAGCTCTGGTACAAAACTTACATGCTACACTAATAACGGGTTTACTAATTTCCCCACAGTTCCCATTGGACGGATACAGATATCATCTCTCATTGGTCAAAATGGATTGCATCATTGATCGGGTGGTTAAAAAATTTATGAATTAAGTTATTTTACAATAAGTCCGCAAAAGAATTTTTCGTAATAATTACGAATTTTTTAATTAATCTTTTTTTCAATTAATCATTTTTTAATTAATCATTTTTTTTTAATTTATTATTTTTTTCAATTTATTATAATTTATTCTTTTTTAAAAAAATTTATTATAATAATCCTTTTTGCTCAAATACTAACATTTGAGTTTGCATCTTTTTAAATTTCTAATAATTAGCTTTGTATAGACGTTTAGTAAATTTTTTTGAAAAAAGAAATTTTACTGTATTGTGTAAAGATATTAATTGAAATAAAGACAAATAATTTAAAACTATTCTGATATTTCATATTTCCATATTTATAATGTCACTTATGATTGATGAAATCTTTGGCATTGATGATGAAATGCCGACATGGATATTAGTGAGGATAAGCTTGACAATATGCTCGAATCTATTCTAGATGTGACAAACAGTATTGGTCAAGCATGGGAAACTGTAATTGATGATCCAGAGTAGATATCAAAACCTGAAAATATCAAAACCTATTCCTTTTCAGTAAATGAATATGAAAAATGGATTAAAGACCTTGAAAAGGCAGGTCTAAGTTATAATCGGCATAATCATAAGAATAAATTAGGTACAAAAATAAAAAAT